GATTTCAAAAATATATGACAGTACCAAACAAATCACAGAGCTGAAGAATACAATACGTGAACTAAAAAATTCCGTAGAGGGCCGGCCGAGTGGCGCGATGGTTAAGAACTCGCTTGGGATGCCAGAGGGCCCCGGTTCGGATCCCACATATGAGGGCCAGTGACACTGCCCTCTGCAGCTAAGATGCTGAACAACAGCTCAACCTGGAGCTGGGCTGCCGTGGGTCGCCTGCGACGGCGTGGGCTGCAGCCCCTGTGGCAGTGGGTTGCCATGGGCTACCGTCTGTAGCCAGCAGCCAGCGTGAGTGGCCAGCAGCCAGCGTGAGCGGCCAGCAGCTAGCGTGAGCGGCCGGCAGCCGCAGTGAGCGGCCGTCCAGAAGCCGGCGACTGATCTGCCTCGCCTGGGAAGAGCGCAATGATGGTGCCAACTTGGGCCAGTGAAGCAACGTCCTCCACAACTAGACTGAAGAACAAAACGACAGCAACTTGTCTGTTCCCCTTCCCCCAATTCCCCAGCACTGTTCCCATCCCCCCAATTCCCCAATTTAAAAAAAAAAAATCTAAAAAAAAAAAAAAAAGACTGTTCTTTAAAAAAAAAAAAAATTCCGTAGAGGTGGAAGCACTAGAAGAGGCAGAAGAAAAGATCAGCAAACTTTAAGGCAATGAAATTCATCCAGTCAAAAGAGCAAAAGAAAAAGAGTGAAGATAGCTTTAGGGACTTATAGGACAACATCATATTATAAGGATTCTAAGAAGGAGAAAGGGACGAAAACTTATTTGAATAAATCATGGCTATAATGTTCCTTAACCTGGGGAATGAAACAGACATCCCGATCCAGGAAGCCCAGAGATTTCCAAATAAGATGAATCTAAAGGGACCCACACAAAGACACGTTATAATTAAACTGTCAAAAGTTAAAGACAAGAAGGGAATCTTAAAAGCTGCAAGAGAAAGACAACTTTTTATATACAAGGAAAACCCTCATAAGAGTATCAGTAGGTTTTTCAACAGAAACTTTGTAGGCCAGAAGGGAGTACTATGATGTATTTAAGGTGCTGAAAGAAAAAAAAAACCCTGCCAACCAAGATACTGTGCCCAACAAAGCTGTCCTTCAGAATTGAAGGAGAGTATTCAACACAAGAAAAAGCTGAAGGATTTCAGCGCAATTAGACTGGCCTTATGAGCAATGTTAGAGGAATTCTTTAAGCCGAAAGAAAAGAATACTAATCCGTAACAGGAAAACTGTATGAAAATGTACATTTCACTGGTAAAGATAAATATATAGTTAAATTTAGAATTTAGAAAATGCAAACAGATTAATTACTAGTAAGGAGATTGAATCAGCAACCTAAAACCTCCCAAAAAGCAAAATTCTGGACCAGACAGCTTCACTGGTCAATTCCACCAAAAATTTAAAGAAAAATTAATACCAGTCCTTCTCAAAATTAATACCAATCCTTCCAAAAATAGAAGAGGATGGAACACTTCCAAAATCATTTACAAGGTCAGCACTATCCTGATAATAAAACTAAACAAGGGCATGACAAGAAAACAAAATCACAGGTTAATAGGCCTGATGAACATAGATGCAAAAATTCTCAACAAAATATTATCAAACTGACTAGGATATTTTAAAAGGATCATACACCATGATGAGTGGGATTTATTCTATGGATGGTTCAATATCCATAAATCAATCAGTGTGACAGACTACATTAACAAAACACAGAACAAATATCATATAAACATGTCAGTGATGCAGAAAATGCATTTGACATAATTCAACATCCATTCACAATGAAAACTCTCAACCAAGTGAGTATAGACAGAATGTATCTCAACATAAGAAAGGTCATATATGACAAGCCCACAGCTAACATATACTCAGTGGTGAAAAACTGAAAGCTTTTCCTCTAAGATCAGGAACAAGACAAGGACAACTACTCTTGCCACTGTTATTCAACATAGTACTGGAAGTCCTAACCAAAGCAATTAGGCAAGGAAAAGAAAGTCACCCAATCAGAAAGGTAGTAATAAAACCGTCTCTGTTTGCAGATGACATGATAATTGTAGTAAACCATAAAAACTCCACCAAAAATGTTAGAACTAATAAGTTTAGTCAATACAGTTGCAGTATACAAAATCAATATATAAAAATTAGTTGCATTTATATACACTAGTGAAATATCAGAGAGAAATTAAGAAAACAATCCCATTTACAATTGCATCAAAAAGAATAGAATGCCTAGGAGTAAACTTAACAAAGGAGGTAAAAGATCTGTACCCTAAAAGCTATTAAGACATTAATAAAAGAAATTTTGTGTTCATGGATTGGAAGAATTAATATTGTTAAAATGTACATATTTTGTAAAGCAATCTACACATTCAGTGAAATCCCTTTCAGAATTCCAATTGTATTTATCACAGAAATAAAGCAAATAATCCTAGTTAAACCATAAAAGACCCCAAATAGCCAAAGCATCTTTAGAAAAAAAGAAAAAGCTGGAGGCATCACACTTCCTGATTTTAAACTGTATTACAAAGCTATAATAATCAAGACAGTATGGTATTGGCATAAAAACAAACTCACAGGTAAGTGGAAACAAATAGAGATTTCATAAATAAACTCATATCTATATATATGGTCTATTACTTTAAACAATAGTGGAGTCAAGAATATACAATGAGGAAAAGATAGTCTCTTCAAAAAATGGTGTTGGGAAAACTGGACAGCCATATACAAAAGAATGAAATAGGGCCACTATCTTACACCATATACCCTAACCAACTCAATATGGATTAAAGACTTGAATGTAAGACCTGAAGCCATAAGACTCCTATAAGAAAATATAGGGAGTTAGCTCCTGGACATTATTCTTGGCAGTGCTTTTCTGGAGTTAACTCCAAAAGTAAAGGTAACAAAAGCAAAAATAAACAGGTGGGACAACATTAAACTAAAAAGCTTCTGTACAACAAAGAAAAATATCAACAAAATGAAAAGGGAACCTACTGAATGGGAGAAAATATTCACAAATAATATACCTGATAAGGGGTTAATATCCAAAATATATTATGAAGTCATATAACTCAATAAAGAAAACAATCTGATTTTAAAATGGGCAGAAGATCTGAATACACATTTTTTCAAAGAAAACATCTAAGTGGCCAATAAATACATGAAGAGATGGTCAATATCACTCATCATCAGTGACATACAAATCAAGACCACAATGAGCTATCACCTCACACCTGTTAGAATGGCTATTATCAAAATACAAGAGATAACAAGACAATATGGAGAAAAGGGAATCCTTGTATGCTGTTGGTGGGAATGAAAATTGGCTCAGCCACTATGGAAAACTATGGAGGTCCCTCAAAAAAATTAGAAGTACCATATGATCCAGCAATTCTACTTCTGGGTATTTATCCAAATGAAGTAAAATCACTGTCTCGAAAAGATATCTGCATCTTCGTGTTCATTAGAACATTATTTACAATAGCCAAGACATGGAAACAACCTAAGTGTCCATTGATGGATGAATGGATAAAGAAAAAAAAAATCCAATGAAATATTAAGCCATAAAAAAAAAAAGATGGGAATCCTGTCACTTGCAACAATATGGATGGACCTTGAGTGCATTATGCTAAGTTAAATAAGTCAGACAGAGAAAGACAAATACTGTATTAATCTCATATTTGGAGTCTAAAAAATAACCAGACTCAAACACAGAAAACAGATTGGTGGTTGCCAGAGGAGGGGATTGAGGAGTGGGTAAAATGGGTGAAGGTGATTAAAAGGTACAAACTTCCACTTATAAATAAATCCTGAGGTTGAAAATTACAGCATGGTGACTATGGTTAATACCATATTGTATATTTGAAAGTTTCTAAGAGAGTAGGTTGTAAGAGTTCTCATCAGAAGAAAAAAAATTTATAACTGTGTAGTGATGGATGTTAACTAAACTTATGGTAGTAATCATAGATCATACATACATGTATCAAACCATTAGGTTGCACACCTAAAACTAATACAATATTATTTGTCAATTATATTGCAATTGAAAAGAAAAGAATTTGGAAAGTTTTAAATAAATAGCTATCAAGTCTTTTTGTAAATAGGAAAAGAAAAAAATAGAAGACAATTTTAGATTATGTCAGAGAGTGAGAGTAGTTAAAGAATAAACTCAATCATAGAAGTTTTGGAAAAACATTTTTACATGACTTTCCATTGTAGCTTCACAATTTTAGAAATAGACTAATCAATCGCTTTGTTTTCAAATGATGAAAATGAGATGTTGCCCGGTGAAAGTAACACAGCCACTTATTCGCAGAGCATGATTCCAACTCTCAGATGAGATCCAGGCCTTCAATTCTTATCTCAGTCTTTCAGTGCTTTTCTACTGTTTATGTTTCTTATCTAACCACTAGTTTCAAAAGTGGCCTGGAAATTTGCAATGATTTTTAAAAGACCTTTTACTTTAAATGTCCTTGTTTATCAATGGATCTGTTAACTGAACTCTCCAAACTCTCCCCACTGCCATTCATTTGTGAGACACCTTATTTTGCTTTAAAACTTACTGATTTTTTGAGAAATCAAAAATCGTATGCCTCACTCAACTCTGAGTACCTTATGTGTTACACTTTTGAACATAAGTATTACTATGCTAGGCATTTTTTAATACACTCACTGAAATCTTACAACTATATGGGATATAAAGAACCTGAAGTTAGAGAAAGAAAGTAACCATTATTTATTTAAAGTGGCTAATTTATTCTGATTCCATGTTCAATGCATTTTTCCCATCCATCACACTAACATTACTGTAAAAACACCAGCCAGGTTGCTTGGTTTGTATAGCAACTGGTGAATCTCTAGCCACAACAATTTTATTTATAAAACAGTTCACATGTAAAGTATGGTGATTGATATTTGTTGTTGAATGTATTGAAACCACCGTTCATTGCAATTTAGTATTCATCCAGTTTCTCTTTCCTTTCAGGCCTGTATGTGGAATCAGAGGGAAAACTCTCATAATTAACCTGCCAGGTAGCAAGAAAGGATCTCAGGTAAGCAACCATGAAATTTATATGGTTTAATGTACAAAGTTTTGGCCAGCTGAGAGAGTTAGCCAGCCAAAAAGCTGGAGCACTCCACCAGACTGCCCTCACTTCTGATACCAACTGCAAACAGTGCATTTCCAAAACCACTCTCAGTTTCAGTAATTCACTAGAAAGACTCACAGACCTCAATGAAAGATGCTGTACCCATGGTTATGGCTTATTACAGGGAAAGGATACAGATTAAAATCAACCAAGGGAAGAAGTTGCATTAGACAGAGTTAAGGAGAGTTACTGAATGGGTAGCTTCCATTATCCTCTCTTTGGGGAGTCATGAATGCATTGTTGTCCTGGCATCAATATGTAACAACATAGGGAGTATTGCCAGTCAGGGAAGCTCCAAGCCTTTGGTGTCCTGAGTTTTTACGGGGGCTCGTCACATACTGCTCATATGGCTGACTTTTAGTTTCTAGCCCTTCCCAGAGGTTGGACTGATACCTTTAGTATCCAACACTTTCCAAAGGCAAAACTGATACCACATTGTCCAAAGCCCCCTGTAATAAATCACACTATTAGAATGTCTGGCAGCCCAAGTCCCTAGTACAAAGATATGCCTATCACTTCCCAGCAACTGAGGGCAAAAGCCAGACTCTTCTTTTAAATAAAGGTAATTTTTTATTACACAGCTAATCCCTGGCCTTTGGCCAAGGCTACCTTACAGCAAAAAGATTGTATTTGCCTGGTTGTACATCTACAGAGGGTGCCAAAAAAATGTATACACATCTTAAGAAAGGAAAAAACTGTATTAAAATTACACTTATGGCAACCACTTTGAGCACCTCTTGTAATTGCAGAAGTCAAATGTGACTTGCAGTCATTTTGTATTATTGGTATATATTGAGTATCACGATTTTAATACAGTATTTTCCTTTCTTAAAATGTGTATACATTTTTTTGGTACCCTCTGTATATTTACTATAGCATTCATATTTACAGACATAACAGTACAAGTGTGAATATGCCCAGGCTTTGGAGAAGCCACCATGGGATTGGGATAGATTTAGAGAAACAGCTAATCCATCCTCTATAGCCATTATATACATTTCCATATTTTTGTACTAATTTTCCACCTTGATCTACTACTATTTGTACTCTATGATACATTTGCATAGAACTATTTACCGTAGAAATTGGTTCTCTTGCTCAGGCCAGTCATTTTCTATTGGTATTTACATTTTGAGGAGGATTTTCACTCAGTTTCCCAATACATATGACCATCAATATCAGTATTATAATCTTACTAAAATGCCGGTATTATAACATATCACAGTATAGTAGTAGATATAACCTAAAAAATAAGAGTTGGAAGATGCTGGTGCGTTACTGAATTCCTACACACACATTAACAGTTAGCCTAGTCTATCTCATATCAAATCACAAAAATGTCTCCCAGAGAGATGCTACTCAGGTTTAAGGCTTGTCAGTTTCTAAAAGCAGGAGTAGTCTCAGCAACATATGGCTTTACCCTTTCTGGCGTCTGTTACAACTGAGCTAACAAACAGTATCATCTCTTATTCTAAACCCCTTTTGATACACTAATAGAATATTGGATTTCCCTCACTGCATAACCCATTTATTCATTCCTTTACTTTTAGCTACCATTCCTCCTCTCCTTTGAAAATCTTTGAATGACACAGTTGATTTGGCCACTATGCCATCCAGATCGCCATCAGTAATACTAGTTTAGGAAGTGCTTCCCGCTCAGTTCATTTTCATTCATGTAAGGTAGGATTACAAACGTATAGAACTAGTGGGCACCCACATTTTCAGCGCTGATGCTAGGACTATATCTAGTAGGGGGAAAAAAGTTGAGATGATGTAGGGGGGAAGCAAAATAGAGTCCTGAAGGAAAAAGTATAGTCCTAATAGCATCCTCCCCGAACCCTCTCTTCCCCAGAACAGTAGAGGAATCTATCTAGTGTGACCCATCCCTTGGCCTCCCTCATATTGAGTGTGATCACACACCAATGAAGGTGTGTAAGCCAGCCCTTCATGTCTTTATCGCCTCCCTTTTGAGACAACAAATATTTCATTTCTCCATTCCAGTTTTCTACCCAGTCATTGTCCTGTAGATGAAAGTGTGTTCTTGGTATAAAAAAATTGACTGCATGGTCATTGATACAATATCTTCTGTTCTGGTCCTGTTATAGTACACTGAGCATTTGTGTCTACCACTGGGTAAGCAATGCCCAGCACAGAACAAGTGTCTGTTCCTGTTAAGACCCATTTGTAGCCTCCAGGGGCAACTGGCATCAGTCCAACTTGCCAGCTATGTGCAGGACCTTCCCCCTGTGGAATCTGCTTCATAGCCCTCTGCCATCTCTGTCTCTTTTGTTAGCAGACAGAACGGTTAGCATTTATAAGTTAGCATTTTATGCCTCAGTGCAAGAGAAATATATCTAGATTCATCCCATCTCAGCAGCCTCCTAATGTTCACTCATCTCATGAGCCCAGTTAGCCACATCAAGCAAGAACAACAATATCTGTTCACCAGTTCTAATCAATTTCCAATTCTGGAAAGGGTTCTTCTGATGAGCATTAACATATCCTACTTTTATATACCCCTTGCATTCCCAGGGCCATGCCCCATACAGGGATCCCTTTAGTAGACCAATTTTCCATTGTCCTTCTGCCCGACCATCTGGCCAGGCCATTGGACAAGTCCCATGAGTTGGTAAAAACCCAAACATAGGGCCAAACATCATGTAGTTCAGCCTATCGAGCTGATTTGTTTTTACCTTCTTCAATCAGAGTGGCGGCCTTCCAAACAGGATGCTGTCCCTTCACCTTGGAATTGCCATCCATAAACCAAGCAGCTCTTTGTTGATCAATAGAAAGCTGTTTATAGGGCACCGCCCAAGTGGCCCAAGTGGCCATAGGATCCAGCAGCTCCTCAGGTGGTTCCGAAGTCGGCCCTAGGTGAAAAGAGGCTACCTGCTCGTGAGTACCTCCTTGCATTCTCCTGGTAGCATGATCCTATTTCCACCATTTCCATTTTATTATGGAACTGTTCTGGGCATTGCCTTCCCCATTAGGGCATTTCTCTGACATTACCTAAGACATTATGGATATTTCAGGTTTCAAGATTATTTTATGTCCTTCAGTCATAAGGGCAGTCTCCAAGTCCAATAGCAAGCTAGAAATTGTCTCTCAAATAGAAATTTTCTGGTCAGAAATCCCAGCAGTTGTTGCTGGGTGGCACTCAGAGGTTTTTGCCATAAGCCCCAATCTGTACTCCACACAGGGCTATTATACAGCAAATTAATGATCTGTGTGGGCTCAGGCAAGCTTATTGATTCTCACTTAGAATATCCAATCTGTATCAGTAGAAGAGTGGATTTACATGTCTTCTGTTTTATAATACTGGATAGGGGAAGAATTCTCCAGTCAAACACAATATCCATCCCCATAATACAGTCAAGTAAAGGAGACTCACCACTTTACATGAAGTTCACTGTACAAATATTCTAATTTTCATCCAAACTTTTCTCCTTAATCCCATTAACTATTGTATTCCTATATCCTCCCAATCTAATAGTACCCCCATTAGAACTTCAGCAGGTTTTAGAATCACAGTACATGAGACTTCCATGTCAAGAAGTTCCCCCAAAAATCTGTTCTCTATCCCCCTACCATTTTACCCACTTATGTACGTATGGCCTTGGATTTCCAGGCCTGAGTTGGGCCAAGGGATCCAGACCCCTTTGTCAGGCCTTATCTTGATTAGATAATGAGACTATCACTTAAGGTGATTCAAGGTGAGGTTTCTTGTTTTTTTTTTAAGATTTTTATTGGGGAATTGGGGGAAGGGGAACAGACAAGTTGCTGTCGTTTTGTTCTTCAATCTAGTTGTGGAGGACGTTGCTTCACTGGCCCAAGTTGGCACCATCATTGCGCTCTTCCCGGGTGAGGCATATCAGTCGCCGGCTTCTGGACGGCCGCTCACTGCGGCTGCTGGCCGCTCACGCTGGCTGCGGCTACATACGGTAGCCCATGGCAACCCACTGCCACAGGGGCTGCAGCCTGTGCCGTCGCCAGCGACTCACAGCAGCCCAGCTCCAGGTTGAGCTGTTGTTCAGCATCTTAGCTGTAGAGGGCAGTGTCACTGGCCCTCATATGTGGGATCTGAACCGGGGCCCTCTGGTGTCCCAAGGCAGTTCTTAACCACTTAATCATGCCACTCGGCCGGCCCAAGGTGAGGTTTCTTATAGTCATCTTTGCCATCTAGCTTTTTAAATTTTTCCAAACTAGGGTAAATACAGATTTGTTTAGGACCCTTCAATTGAGATTTGTTTAGGACCCAAAGCCCTCATAATAAATCACATTGTTAGACTGTTCAATAGCCAAAGCCACCAGGCAAACAAAGACACTCCTATCACTAAACCAGCAAGTACTCAACCCACAAAAGTGCTACATTAAGACCTTTGTTTTGTCCCCATTTAATGCTTGCTTTATTCATCCATTTCTTAATAGTCATTTAAATATTTCCACCCTACTAGGACAAGTCCCCTGAACCTCTGATTTCTCTTTTCCTATTTTCTTATGAATCTGCCTAACTTTATTCACTGTTTATTGCTTCAACATAACTTACTTCCTTTGGAAGCAGCCCTGAGGCCAGCAGCTATACCTCTGACCAGCCAGAATCCAAGCTTGGCTCAGCCTCAGGTTCTACCCCAACAGTCTCCCTTACATTCCTTTTAGCTAGCACAGAAAACAATAACCAAAAGATTGTATATTTACCTTGCTTCTTGTTATTTTGCATTTCTTTATGTATCCAATGACATATAACTCCTTAGGAATTGAATCTTTCATTTCAAAATTCCTTTTGCTAACTTTTATCTTCAATAGCTAATTGCAGCACAGCTGCATTTCCATATTATGGGTGACCCTGTGTTCATTCAAGCTGTAAAGATTCATTATTCCTCACCCTCTCTTCTTCCTTCCTCCCCCCAGATCACATGTTTCATGCATCAGGGTCTTTCAGCAAATCCCATCAACTATAAGGAGTTTTGACCAACTGCAAAAAGTTAGCCAACTGCAAAGTTGGAGCACTCCACAAGACTGCCTTCACTTCTGACACCAGTTGAAATTCAGGGGATTTTTAAAACCACCCTCAGTTTTAATATAATTCACTAGAAAGACTCACAAAACTCACTGAGAGCTGTTATACTCATGGATATGGCATATGACAGGGAAAGAATACAGATTGAAATCAGCCAAGGGAAGAAGCAGATAGGGCAGCATCTAAGAGAGGTACTAAATGAGGAACTTCTGGTCATCATCCCCCATGGAGTCATGGACAGCATTACCTCCTCTCAGCCATAATACGAGAAAACACCCACACAGTAATGCTAACTAGGTGCCCTTACCTTTGCCATTAGTGTCCGCAGTTTTTATTGACTCAGTCACATATTGTTCACGTTGTTGACCTTTATTTTATCCCTTTCCAGAGAGGAGACTGATGTCTTTAGTCTCTAGCTCCTTCCAGAGGCAAAACTGACATGTTTCCCAAAGACCTCATAATAAACCACATTGTTAGACTGAGTGGCCAATGGCCCCAGGCAAACAAAGACACTCTATCAGGCATGACGTTCCAAGGAACTAGAGATCACCTCCCAAAAGCTGAGAGTAAGGCCAGACCTCTCTTTGGTCAAGGTTAAATTCTGTACTGTGCAACCTTTATCAGTAAAGTGACTGAGCCATACAAAGAGAGATCAAAAGATTAGGCACCCTTTCAGGTATTCCAGTAACCCTTCATAAATTTTAAGGTATTTTTGTATATCTTACATTTTAAGGTAAGTTACTTTAAGTGTAAAAGAGAAAGACATCTGCCTAAACACATTCCCCAAATATGTCTGGCCCTGTGTTCTGACGTTAAAGTTCTCACTTACTCTCTTTTGGTGTCCCATTAATGGTACTGGTGGGCACTTGAGCAAGAAACTCTATTGGCTTTAATGCAGTGTTCTGCACAAACGTGTATTTTTACATATTGTACCACATTGCCGAGCTACACTTTATGATGGTAGTCAGAACTTTAGCTCTCTAAATAAAATAGTTCAGTCCTCAGTTGGTTTGTAAGTTCTAGTGCTCTGCTCTAACTGGAAAGGTGCAAACTGTTTCTTCCCTTTCCCATAATATATCTTTAAACCCTAAAGTTGTATAGAAATTTTATTTTTTTAAAAATGTACTATGTGCTGATATAGTACTGTAGTTCTTCAGCTTATGGGGAGTACTGTAATATATGACATACTTACTTCATATTACAAAGATTATACCTTAACTATGATTCATTCTTAAAACTGATGGAGAGACAGATCCAAAATCACAAATGAATTTGATTGCTTCCATTTTGTATGCCTATAAAAGTGCTTCATCTTTATTTTTTTCTTCCTCTTGCATACAGGAATGCTTTCAGTTCATACTGCCAGCTCTACCTCATGCCATTGACCTTTTACGTGATGCCATTGTAAAAGTAAAGGAAGTCCATGATGAACTTGAAGATTTACCTTCCCCACCACCTCCTCTTTCCCCTCCTCCCACAACTAGCCCCCATAAACAGACAGAAGACAAAGGGGTTCAATGTGAGGAAGAGGAAGAAGAGAAGAAAGACAGTGGTGTTGCTTCAACAGAAGACAGTTCTTCATCACATATAACTGCAGCAGCCATTGCTGCCAAGGTAAGCCTGCTGAGAGAGACCCAAAGATCTAACGGACCCACAGGTAAATGTACTGATTTCATCCCTCTTTCCATCCCATCATTCCATAAGGTTAATACCTCTTCAGGGCATCCTTAAAAAAGAACTGGGATACTCGTGACACTCCATAGCTGTTCCTACATGATGTTTGTTGTTCCTACATGATGTTGAGTCCTTGAAAGCTTTGAAGTTTGTTCTGAGTTCTGAGGCATTAAAGATACTGCTGTTATGTACTGAAGTAATAGTTGCAGTGACAAACTGTGACATTTAAGAACTCTTTGGAGATGTTGTTTTTGTTCTCATACTAAATATACAGTGTTCATATATTCAAAACATCAAATATTCACAAATTCTTAACGGAACAGAAAACTGAACATAAGAGACCTTAGATGATGCAAGAAATTTGTTGAAAAGGTTAATAAACATTTTTCAATACAAAGCTGTTCAGCAGTTAACTAAGCACTTATTTAAATATAACTTGACACAAATTACCCTAGTGATATAGAGAGAAAATGCATATAATGTATTTGCATTTTTAATTTGATAAAAATAATATTAGCACAGTACCAAAGTATTAAAAATACTTTTGGGGAAATTCTGGGAGTAAATAGAATACCAACCATGAGGTAGTTGAGTAAAATTAGTCATCTTAAAGTCACAGAACATGATTTACATTGTTATTCATATCTAGTGTAATCCACCCAGTATGCTTTAAAATCTTTAGAAAGTAACATTTCACATCTGGGAATAATGATTGTTCATTGATTAAGAGCATAAAGATTGAAAATCTAATCACTATATGAAGTAATTCCTAAAGTTTTATGGCTCATCCGGATATTTTGCCTATGAGCTTAGCATGAGGTCTTTTTGACAACATACAGATTAAAAAGGATCATAAAGATTTTTTAATTTTTATTGTGAAATAATAAAGATTCTTTTGAAGTGTCCATTCAGACAACCAGTAGGTGGCTCTTTCATTGAAGACCAGATGATTCTGTCACCACATCTATTTAATGATCCATTAAATTCTTAAGGCTAGTAAGTATTTAAGTTCCGTGTGAAGGTTATTTTGTTTTGTTTTTATGGAACTGATTAGTGAAATAGGTACATTTAAAAATCATTGTATGTTCTTTCTCTTTTACTCTTAGTTAAAAGAGTAAAAAGTACCATCAATTTCAATCTTTATTAAAAAGCTTACAGCATTTGAAATCTAAGTTGATTTGACATTTCATTGTTGCATTTGTTTTCACCCTTTTTCCTTTCCAGTCATTTTGCTTGTATTGTTTCATGTTTTCCTGTCACAATATTCATAGTTGTTATGTGTTGTGCATTAGAAGCATCCATTCTACACCAGTCCTGCTGTTATCATGGCACACGGTGAACAGCCCATCCCTGGTCTCATCAATTATTCCCATCATGCAACAGGCAGTGCAGATGAACGGGTAAGACAAAGAGGCTTTTGCATTAATGATTTTGCAAGCATACAGCCTACTTCCTATCCTTGGAGGTAGGGAATAACGTATTATGGAAGATGTGTTTTATTCTGAAAGATCTTCAGCAGTGCTTTTTTGTGAAAGTGTAGGTGCTACTGAGTATATTCTATCAAGGAATTTAATAGAGTTTCTCCTATACCTAACTACTCTGATATTATTAAGATTCTGTAGTATGTGGCAACAAGCTTTCATCACATGACTTCCAAGAAATTAATTGCTCTGAGGTTTTTTGTTTTTTGTTTTCTGGGGTTTTTTTTAGCAGCTTTATCACATACCTTTAAATAAATTACCTGGCTTAATTAAAATAATCCCTTTAAGAGGATCATTTTAAATTTTAAAATCTAAACAGATTGGTCATGCTAATATTTCATTTGTATAAACCTTGGGTTTTTATTTGCTCATGATTTTACATCTTATTTTTTTTCCCTTCACTGTGTTCTCATTACAGCTATTTAGAGAGTTGGGTCTTGATACAAATTTTGAGATACTAATCTTCAGATAGAAACATTTAAGGGAACATATCATTTCTTTCAGTCACTGACTGAATGATAGTTTGTAAAAAGTGGCAGGCTAGAAAAGATTAAACTGATAAATATAAATGACTAAGCATTGATCATTTAGATCATGGCTGAAAAAAAATCCCATCTCAATACTAATATGGATATAAAATGAGAGGGAAAAAGAAGTAATAATGTAAATTTTGGCTTTAAATACTTAGGAAGAACAAGCACCCAGAATTTGGGGGAGGGGGTTATATGGGTGAGGTGGGGAACTAGTATCAGTAGTTTCTTGGGAGATATACTATCAAATGAAGATTTTAACTCTTATATTCAACAAGCCATGCCTGGTTGGAAATAAACTTGGGTTAATCAAAGGCCAAGAAGAAAATTTATATACTGATTAGTAAAATTATTAATGAGTTTCAGTTGACAACTAGTATGTGAAGTCTCCAGATATAGCTTTGTTGTAAATTATAAACATTCGAAAATGCGCCAAACTTGAAGCTGGACTTCTTTTGTATTCTCATAACACAACCACAACAACTATAATCATCATCCTCGTTTTCAAATTAAAATGTTTGTAAATTTTGTATTCATAATCAAACTTTTAAGTTATATTCTGAGTTTCATATTATTACACTGAAAATAATGGTAGTGACTCTTTCTTTTTAGTTCTCACAAGAGTTGTACATTACTAGCACCATTCTAGTTTCATGAGGAAGAAATTAATTATCACATACAATAGAGTTCTCATGTTATTAGGGTTTCATTCTCGGGAGGAGCTAGTTGAGAATGGGTATTTAAGTGTTCTAACTGGATATCCTCATGTGGCATCATCCAGAAACTTCTCATTTATTAATCGATATTTAGTAATCATTTGTAAGTAGTGCTTATGGTCTTTTTTAATAATTCATATTTGTAAGTAGACATAATTTTCTGCTTCCTTTGACAAATAGTCAGAGCTATACATCAAAGACTATAATGTTCTAGCTCTTCAGACCTAGCATCCATAGGAAAGAATGAAAAAGAAGAAACAGGTACCAGAAAATAATGAAAAGTAAGGCCTTTAATGTTCTTAGTGCTCCTAAAGAAGTTAACTCTGTGACTGCTTATTTGGCAGTAGCTTAATTAATGAGCTTCATTGGTTCTGAATGCCCTGGTTTGTTGTCAATGTTTTGGATCTCTACTTGAGAATAGTAATTTGCAATATCTCTGTGAACGTTTGGCTGGTTTTTACAAGCTTTACAAATGTAAAATTTAAAAATTAAGTTTTGGAAGGGAGAGTCTAATTAACCTACTGAAGAGAAAAATTACAATTTCCCTTAGCTGATTTGAATTCTGAGGCACGTGAAGCAATGTGGAATAATATAAAATTATGCAAGTTAAAAACAGAAGAACTGCATATAAGCCCTGATTTTACCACTTAACATTTGACTCAAGATTTAAGTTTCAGTATCTCATTTATAACATGGAAATAATAATAGTTACCCTCTATGTCACAAGAGGTTATTTATTTATACTTAATAATACATAATGGGGGATTATAAATTTAGAGTTTAATATTTGCAAAATTCTTTCCAGATGCCAAGCACTATGGTGTTCAAAATGCTTGGTGTTCAAAATGCAAATATAAATGGCTTGTTCCAGCCCATAAAGAGTTTACAGTCTAACTAGGGAGTTCTATTACTACTTTCTTACTTTTCTAACTCAGTTATCCACTTCTTATGATCAGAAAATGAAACCTGATCAATGTAATGACTTATGAATAATTACTAGAGATCTCATTAATTGGCATTAGTTTTTGCCAAACTAATCAATTTACTTTTTTAGGAAATAAAAGAGACTTGAGGAATGCCTCTTATGATGGATATTCGTTTAGTTGACTCACCAGCAGTCATTTCCCACTCCCTCTTTCTAACATTGTACCGCATTTTCAGTTATAATAGTTGGGGGTGGAGGGCTGTTGAATAAACCTCCAGGATATGTTGGCTTAATATAATCAGTATGTCCATTTCACATAGCCACAGTTTTTAGTTCAAGGAACACATAATTCAGGCCAATGGTAGTGAATGGGTCTCATCACTCAGGTTTTATTTGAACTACTGGGGACACAGACTCTCTGTTTCTTACTGGGTATTAATAGTCTCAAAAATTACCATCTTGGTTTTATATAGCACATATCAGTGAAATCATATGGTTCTCTACTTTTTCTGTCTGATTTCTTTCGTTTAGCATGATAATCTCAAGATCCATTCATATTATTGCAAATGTCACTATTTCATCTTTTCTTATGGCAGAACAGTATTCCATTGTGTATATATACTACATCTTCTTTATCTAATCATCTATCGAAGGACACTTGGGTTGTTTCCATGTCTTGGTCACTGTAAAGAAAACTTCAATGAACATCGGAGCACATACATCTTTATGGATAAATGTTTTTAGATTTGTTGGGTAGATACTCAGGAGAGGGATTGCTGGGTCATATGGTAATTCTATTCCCAAGTTTTTGAGGAACCTCCACACCGCCTTTAATGGCATCTTGGAACCATGAAAGGAATACTTACCAATAATGGAACAAACCAACAGTAAAGAAACAATCCTGAGAAATGGAAGAGAAGAGGTGTTGGGTCCTGTTCACATGACACTAACCACTCACTCAAGCCCCTGTTGAACTATACCTACCTCTTGACTTTTCAGTTACATGAACCAATAAATTACTTTAAGAAAAAAAAAAAAAACTAATTTGAGAGAGAAATGGGTGTACTGCACCCAGATAGCACCTTAACTAATATACCTCAATATATACTGTCTCATCAAAGAGATGAAAAGTCTTTCTTATAATGACTGAAATATATCGAATAGGAATCACCAAAGTTTTGAAACTTCAGTGGGGTAGAGAGTAGGGAAATGTGACACAAAGAAGAAAAAGAAGGAAAATAAATCCTGCCCCTCTGTAGTTACTAAGTTTGAAGGTCTTTTCAAGGAGACTGGATCCAAATCTGAAGAAATTACAACTTGTGCTTTTCAGCCTCAAAGCAACTGATAGGTTCAAAAATCCAAGTCATAATGACAGGCAAGGAGGAATTTGAGACAAACAGGGAAGATATCCATAGAGATACATAATAGGAAATCTTGTCTCACTGACAGAAATTAAATCCTCTGGAGAAGCTCAGCACAATAATGATGTTCCCCAAGCTCCGCTGGATACAAGAAAATCTGCTTGCCCTGGGAAGAAAAAGAGATGCTGATTTCCTTTTGCTAAAGGAAATGGAGACAACAATATGTTGAATTCAAATGGCCAGTCAGGAAGAGTCTGTCTTCCTAGAGCATTTATTTGTAACTTAAGAAATAAAATGCTAAGAATGGGCCGGCTGAGTGGCGCGTTGGTTAAGAGCTGGCTTGGGACGCCAGAGGACCCCGGTTCGGATCCCACATATGAGGGCCAGTGACACTGCCCTCTACAGCTAAGATGCTGAACAACAGCTCAACCTGGAGCTAGGCTGCAGCCCCTGTAGCAGTGGGTTGCCATGGGCTACTGTGTGTAGCCAGCAGCCAGGGTGAGCAGCCAGCAGCCACAATGAGCAGCTGTCTAGAAGCTGGCGACTGATCTGCCTCACCCGGGAAGAGCGCAATGATGGTGCCAACTTGGGCCAGTGAAGCAACGTCCTCCACAACTAGACTGAAGAACAAAAAGACAGCAACTTGTCTGTTCCCCTTCCCCCAATTCCCCAGTGCTGTTCCCATCCCCCAATTCTCCAATAAAAAAATCTTAAAAAATAAATAAATAAAATGCTAAGAATTAGCAACCTACCATTTCTATAGATTTGCCTGGGGGAAAAAAATGACACCATTACAAAAATCCAGAGATACTCATAAAGCTTTGATAAGAAAATTGAAGAATATACATATATATACACATAAAATTTCTTTCTATCCATGAGGATTTTGGTATATTAAAATAATGTGTTCCAGTCAGTCTTCTAAACATCTTACTTGTATCAACAATTTATATACATTGTCATTTTACTTATGAGAAAATTGAAGCACAAACAGGTTAAAGACCTATAACTAGAATTCTGAGGGAGTCATTGAGAATCATATATCATTTTTAATGTTTCATTTTAGTTTCAAAAAATCAAGGTCTACTAAATTGTGTGGGTTATATATAGTTTAGGATGAAAGAAAAAGAGCTTCCTCACATATCATAAAATAAATATTTGAAACAACAGCAATAATATTCCAAACAAATAGCCTGAAAAAAAATTCTTCAGTTTATTCCTATGTACTTAATTCTCATTCCGGTGGATCTTAGCTTAGCAATTTGCTTTCATGAAGCTTCCAGCTTCTAGACTAAAAGGGGTTTTAGAAATACTCAGTCCACTGTTATAGTCTGAAAGTTGTCAAAGCAGTGTCACTTCAGAAGTCTGTACCCAAGAGTATATTCTT